TTGTTGGCGCTCGGAGCCATGGAGCGAGTATCAGCAAAACAGCAGAATTCGTTACATGTTCAAGTGCAGCTGTTGTTAAAGTGTTTAAAGACCGGACTGTCAGCCGAAAATCTGGGTCTGAACGTGAGAATTGTGGCCGTCAGCGACTAGTCAATGTTAGGGCAGAACAGGGGAGGGGCAAGACTGGTACAAGACAACAGAAGGGTAACAGTGCCGTGTCAGATTCCTCGCATCACCTTTCATCATCTCGTGGAGTCATGAGGCGGCCCAACGAAGTACTGATGGGGTGGTCATAATAATCTGGCCACTCAGTGTATAACAGAGCCCATAAATCCAGTGCAATGAAAGTGGCAGATAGATTAGAGATCCAAAGAGGGCCAGTCATAGATCACCGAATAATCTCCAGATAGTTGCCAGCTAAGACATCATTGCTTCCAACAAGGAACATCTGTGCACACAATTGTGGTTCATGAAAAGTGGCTGAATGAGGCCCTATAAGGCTGGACACCAGAATGCACTAATATTTGGTTGTATTTCTTATCATCATATAGGATATTTGTCGAACAATTAACAATGGTCAATTGTCAATTTAGCATCCAGCACAAATCAATAGTTGCCATACGCACTACGGTGTAAATTAACATCAAGCATCCATGGGTGCTGGAGTGGTGTTGGTTTGATTCGCTATCACACATAGAGAGGTTATTGCTGTGCATGTCACTGTGTAAATGCAATCATGGATAAAAGCTGGCACCATATTGGTCTATTCACATTATATACTATAGTGCCCATAGTAGAAATCCAACTAGAAGTCTTACAAAGCATGTAGCTGAAGATAATCCACCAATGGCATATACTGTAGATCAGGGACGTGCGGTCAGGGGAGGCATATCCATTTTTCTCCATTCAGATCGGATTGTTACAGGTTACACAGCAGGGAAAGCCTCCCCCCCTCCCCCGCTGTGTAACCTGTCATGGACGGAGCGCTGCCTGCTAATTACAGTCAGCGCTGCATCCGGCTTTTGACAGCTAAGTTAGGTTGCACAGCAGCGGGCTTCCCCACTGCCTGTGTAACCTAACTAGTGAGGCAAGAGCTGTCACAGCCTTTGCTCTGTGTTAGAGGTGTGTGCTCTGTGGATGGTTTGGACCAATGGCAAAGCGCCATTGGTCCAAGCTGTCCAATCAGAAAAAAGAAAAACACTGAGGCCATTGATCTCGATGCCTCAGCACGGACGAGTAAGTGAGGGACAGGGAGGCTCCTCCTTGTCTCCTCCCTCCTTCACACTAGCTTGGGGACTGGGTTGGGGGCGTGGCCTTGGCGGAATGGAATGGGGCTTCGGTGGGATATGGGCGGGGCTTTCGGCGTGTTGGGGGCGGGCGTTCTGGGGGCGAGGCTGGGGAATGCCTCATCGAGAAAAAACGAAGGTACCGCACGTCACTGCTGAAGATACTCACTGCAAAGGATGTACTGTATATGGGCAGTGCTAATAAAGTATGCAGCAACGTGCACCAGAAAACCATACGGCAGCTCAGCATGCGCAAAAAAAGTACTTGTATATATCAACATGGATCAAGAGCCAGCAGTTGTATCCCCCACGTGATGGGAAATCCATGAGATGAAAAGAATGTTGGAAAGTGGCATAGAACTAAATATGCAGCAGAATGAAAATTGGAGCGATCTCACCCGATGATGACCCCGTTGGTTCTACTGGTGTCTAACAGTCCATACTGGCAGCCTGTAATGGGCGGCTATGTGACATGATAAACAAACAATCTCCCCATCTGCCCCAAAAAATGAGATAGCATGTGACTGGAAGAGAGAGGATAGAAGTAACTCAAGCAGGGGCCTCTGTCCATCATAGCGCCACACATGATGTTTGCATTTCACCGTGGTGGGGCTTCTTCAGAGGCTGTGGCTGGTGAACCTGGGGACATAATTAAACTGGTAAACTTAAATTGGAAATACTTTTAGCTTTAGGATTTGTCCTTCCGGCGCCATTTGAAGTCTCCTTGAAGTACCCATGCAAATACTGGGCAAAGTCGGCATTTGCACAGACATAGTATCCCTGTCTATGTGGAAATGCCTGGGTACTGAAAATGACATTGTGGGATAGGAGAAGTCAAGAACGGGCCTGCTCTCTACTGCTAAGAATGTAGAGCGGACAGCTGCAGCCAAACCAGGTAAGACATCCCCCGAAAATAAGACCTAGTGTCTTTTTTCGTAGAAAAAAAAATATAAGACGCTGTCTTATTTTCGGGGAAACACGGTATCTATGCTGGCCCAGCACCTCCACACTTCCCCTCACCTCCCTACATAACCTTTAGCTTCCAGGATAGGAGCAAAGGGTAATACTATTGAGCATCTGCTGGGGCTGCTGACATTGCATCCAAGATGGCGGCACCCAGCAACAGTCTCAGGTCTTAAGTTTTGGATGTCTGTACGAGGGTGGATTTTACTTATAAATGGCATGAATAAAATCCTGGTCTGAGGTATGTCTTTCTCTGCACTGTAAAGTGGCAACTGCATGCATGCATCATACACTCTAGGGGGAGTATGTTTGGGGGAGTCCATGATGGAGAAAGATCGGGGTGTTCTGGTAGATCATAGACTCAATAATAGCATGCAATGTCAAGCAGCAGATTTTAAAGCAGCAAAATACTTCCTTTTATTAAAAGGGATATAGACTCCAGAGATAGAGACATAATCCTGCCCCTGTACAAAGCATTAGTAAGACCTCATCTGTCCAGCCTGTATTGTAATATAAGGTGTATAGACTCCAGAGCTAGAGACATCATCCTGCCCCTGTACAAAGCATTAGTAAGACCTCATCTTTCTCCTACTTTGATTGTATTATAAGGTGTATAGACTCCAGAGAGAGAGAGAGACATCATCCTGCCCCTATACAAAGCATTAGTAAGACCTCATCTGTCTCCATCCTTGATTGTATTATAAGGGGTATAGACTCCAGAGAGAGAGAGACATAATCCTGCCCTTGTACAAAGCATTAGTAAGACCTCATCTTATTCACATTAAGGTCACTGCGAAGGACAAGGGAGCACTATTTGCGTCTGGAGGAAAAGAGGTTTAACCTTTGCATATGGAAAGGTTTCTTCACAGGTGTGTAAATGTGGAATAGGCTTTCAGGTGAACTAGTCCTAGCTAGCTCATTTAATTGTGCTCTGAACCTAACCCACTCTTGCACCAGTCTGGCAGCTTTAGGCGTCGGTCGACCTCTCCTGCTGTTTCTTATGCAGCTTCTCGGCCAATCAGTGCAGTCTGCTTGTGGCCAATCCTGTGGATCCTCCCTCTTCCTGTCTCTATTTAAACCCAGGGCAGCGAACGGCATGCTGCCCGAGCAACACTTTGCCGTGCTAGTTGCCGAGTCCCCCATTTGCGATTGAACCTGAATTGCTGGAAGTTTGCCCGTGTACCGAACCTTTGGCTTGTCCTTGGCAATCCCTGTCTACAGTCTGCCCTGTGCTTACTTTGTCCTTTAAAATCTCTGTCTACAGTCTGCCCTGTGCTTTGCTTTGTCCCTGAAAGTCTAAGGCTGGGTTCACACCTATCGAATATGCGCGTTTGTCGGACGTTTTGTGACACGCGTTTTTACCGCGTGACGCGTGTTTCCAAGGGCTGTATCCCAATGGAAAAGCGCAACAAAAACGCCCCAAAGAAGCTCCTGTACTTCTTTGGACGTAGGGTGTTTTGTAGCGCGTTCATACGGCCTGTAATACGCCCAGGTGTGAACCATACCCATAGGAAATAATGGGATTTCGGAGTTTGAGCGTTTTGCAGAGCGTTCGAACACGCTAAAAAACGCCCAGGTGTGAACCAGGCCTTAGTCTTCAGCCTGTCCCTAACCTTTGATTTGTACCCTGTACCTGTTAGGTGAGTTGGGTGGACCTAGGGATTGTAACCTGGGGTCAGCATGCAGCCAAGCCCATCTCCACCATCAGGAGCTCTGGCGAACACCGGCTGCCCCTTAGATTCCACATCCTGGGGGACCCCATGCCACCTACCCAGCATACCATGCCACCTACCTAGCATTGCAGCACCCTGCCTTGTACTTGAACTTCCAGCTTAAGCTGACTTCCACTACCTCATTCCGTTCCCCTGCTCTGTTCCCTGCTTGTACTCCAGCTCTGGGATTCATCAGCCTACACTGCTTGGACCCTTTTCTCTAAGTGTCCCTACCAGTGTAGTAGAAAGGGTCCACATACCGGACTCCAGTTCTTACCCGTGAGCCCAGATCCGTGACAGCCGCAATGTTGTGTAGGTAGAGTGGGATCCCCCAGAGTGTGGAGTCTAAGGGCCATCTGGTTTTCCCTAGAGCTCCTGATGGTGGAGATGTTATGCTGCATGCTGACCCCAAGTTTACCCAACTCAGCTAACAGCTGACAAAGATTAATAAGGCCAGAGTTCTGGACAGGCTGCAGACATGAATAATGGGAGGCAAATCAAAGATCAGGGCCAGGTTTTCCAGGGACAAGCCGAAGGTTTGGCGGCAGACTAAAGACAAGGATTTCCAGGGACAAGCCAAAGGTCGGTACATGGATAAACTTCAAGAAATTCAGCTTCAATAACAAACAGGGGCTCGTCATCTAGCTTAGGAAAGTGTTGTTTGGGGCGCAAGCCGTGAGCTGCACAGAGTTTAAATAGAGAGGCAGAAGGAGGAACCACAGGATTGGGCACAAGTTGATCACGCTGATTGGCTGAGAAGCTGCAAAGGAATCAGCAGGAGAGGTCGGCTGACACTTAAAGCTGCCAGACTAGTGCAAGAGCAAGTTAGGAACAGAGCACACGTCTGGAGGACCACAAGCAACAGAACAGCCCTGCATGCCTGCAGAACCAGGACCGAAAGGTCTGCTCATACTTGTAGAACTACAAGCAACAGCTCAGCTGCAAAACTGTGACAAGTTCTCAACGCAGGCTGTGGCAACATGAGCAAAGGCGTGCCACATTGTAAGATGCTCTGCGATACCATTCATTGTCAGCCAAGATGGCGCCGGCGCACGTGTCAGCAGGCCGGCCTGGAGTGCCACCGCTCGCTCGGGACCGGGTCGATCGTCTCCTGGTCCGCATCAAGGAGAAGGCAGGAGTCACCGGATCACCCGACAGTACTGGGTGAGTATTTCGGCCGGTTTGTCAGCTAGCTAAGGGTCAGGATGTAGCACGGATGTCGGGAGCTGCAGTGAGACACGTCTGCTCAGTCTCACATCCCGGCCACGCCCCCACCATTCATTGTTAATAGCACCCCAACACACCTTGCTGCACCATGCACCTTAATGGGTGTGAAATTGCATACCTTGCTTTTTGGTGCAAGGCATTTTGAAAAAAAAAAAGTGCAGATCCTGATTCCATATTAGACCCTGAACATGGGTGTGACATGAAACGTGATCTAAAAGGTGAACTTAGCCTTTAAGTTTAGGAAGAGACTCAAAACCACCTTTACACACGATCTGTATTTATTTCCCTTTTAGTGTTTTTTTCTCCCTAACATTTTGGTTTTCTTGTTTTGTTATGACGGGGAAGTGTGCTCAGATGAATATCCTGAACACTATTCAAGTTCCTTTGTCAGGTGAAACCTTTTCATAGGGGATTCTACACGCTGTCCAGACTTCTATCAGTCATCATGAACAAGCACAGCTTCATTTTCGCTCGGCTTCTCTACTTGATTTCGGCTGGATTGCTTTGTCATTCTGTGCTAAGACAGAACTGTCAGGTTCTGGAGAAGAAATATTTTGCACAGTATATGGATCTGAAGTTCCACCGATGTGAGGCGTTTGAGCGATTCCATTTTTCCGTTGCAGTCCATTGTGACCAGGTGGGAAATCTTCACGTGGCGCTGAAAGAAGCTCCGCTGGATACAGATTGGCTTTGCCTAACTAGCTACCGCGGAGTCACATTGGAACCTGGAGCTTTCTCTCGATTCACAAGCCTGAATGCTCTCTATATAGTAACAAGGAGTGCTGACCTCCAACCTGGTACCTTCCGTGGTCTTCCTCAACTAACCACTCTCTGGATCAGGGCAGAATCTTTGGATGATAACATCACATTCCATAAGGATACTTTTTATGGATTAAATTCCCTGCAGGAACTTAAAATATCTTCTATATAGTTCTCAGCCTTCAACTTTTCACTCTTCACTCACCTTCACCTTCTGGACCATCTTCTGCTGGAAAATAACAATATCGATTATCTATCTGAAGTAACAGCATCACTGGGAACGTTCCGAAACCTAAAAAAACTATCTGTAATTGGCAATGGAATTCAGGAACTTACAACTGCCGGTTGTCTCACTTCACAAAACGCTTCAAGTCGCGGACAGTTTGTAGATTTCAACATCAGCCACCTTGACCTGAGCAGCAACGCAATAGCCGTCACTGAACGAATGTCTCTCTGCAACTTTCCACACCTGGAGGTTCTTACCTTGGGCAGGACTGGCGCTGAAATTGAAAACCTATTTGAATCAGGTGTCGAGACCATCAAAACGATTTCAATAGAATGGACTGGACTTGACATATTTGATATCTGTGCGTGCGCATCGCATTTTAAAACAGAGGAACTTCTCCTCATTTATTCTTCCATATATAAAATTAACACTTTCAGAGGCTCCTGCAAACACTTGAAGAAGTTATATTTATCAGGGAATGACTTGGAAAAGTTTGGGGTAAAACAAATGGAAAAATTATCTAATTTGTTAGAACTGGATCTATCAGAAAACCGCATAGAAAGCTTAAAGATCTGCGCAAATGAATCCGTGCCGACGCCGAAGCTGGTTTACCTGAATGCATCTTTTAATTATTTACTTCGGCTACAAAAGGGGCAATTCACCTGCCTGAAGGAACTCAAGAGCTTATCACTGGAGAACAACAAAATCAATCACATCGAGGACTTGGCCTTCGACGGTTTGGATCAACTGAGGCTTTTGAATCTTCAATATAACAACCTGTTCAAGATTGGCGAGTTCACATTTTCCAATTTGTTTTTGGTGAGACAATTGAATTTATATGGAAACGTAGTAGCTGAACTTCATTCACAGGCATTTAGAAACATTTTTCTTCAAAATATAAGCGTGACCTATGATATCCTGAATGATTTGTATTGGTGGAAATATATACGAAGGTCATTGAGAAATATCTCGGTGAAGACCAGTAATTTGCACCTGGAAAGTGACGTTTTAGATGCATTTCCATTTCTTGAGAGCCTAGAAATAGACTCGCCCGACGTCATCCTCCGCTGTGCTGCATTTGCTGCAGCTAAAGAGTTGCATCTGAAAAACACCAAACAGTTTTATAATGCCGATGCACCATTGAGCCCGCTCGTCACTTTTACGAAGCTTGAAAAGCTCTATTACTCCGGAGACCCGCAGGATGTCTACAATGTTAGTGAGGTCATTCACTCGCTGAAAGACGTGCCGTCATTAAGGTTTCTTTATTTGCACGATACTGACAAAACGGTTAAATACAATCAGATAAATGTCAACACCATCTTCCAAAGATTATCGCATCTCAAAGTCTTACATTTGAAGAACTCTGGAATAGACCGTTTGGATTCCAAGGATATTTTTAGTGATTTACAAGGTCTGGAGTTCCTCGTCATCGAAAATCAGAACATGCAGGAGGTGGAGTCGGTTGTATTTGATTCCATGCCGAGCTTGAAGTACATTTACTTCTTGCAGACCACCTTTCCCTGTAGTTGTAAGTTCAAAGGGTTACTCTTATGGCTGGAATCTAACACCCGTGTGTCCATCATTGGCTTTCACCACCAGGAATGTCTGGTCAACCACATCAGCATCGATTTGATATCTTTCTTAAACAACAATTGTCAGAGCGATTTGGATCTTATAATGTTCGTACTGAGCTTTTGCTGTACGCTGTTGTTCATGTGCGTATCCCTCTTCCATGAAAGTATCTGGTGGTACGTTCTCTACCTAGTCTACACCGTTAAATGCTGGATGAACCACAGGCTGCAGCACAAGGAAAGCTATGACTATGACGTCTTTGTGTCCTACAACACAAACAACGAACTCTGGGTCACCGAGCAGCTTCTTCCCAACCTGGAGCAGAATGGTCCTCCTTTCTTCAAGGTGTGTATCCATAACCGGGATTTTGAGATCGGCAGATACATTGTGGAGAACATCATGGACAGTATCTATAACAGCAGATGGACCGTCTGTGTTATTTCCCGCAGTTACTTGCAGAGTAACTGGTGTTCCCTGGAGATGAGGATGGCGACTTACAGGCTACTAACGGAGAGTAAGGATTCTCTCATTCTGATATTCCTTGATAAGATCTCCAGAGAGGAGCTGCAGTATTACCATCGGCTGACTAAGCTGTTGGATAAGAAGACCTACCTGGAGTGGCCACATGATGAGAACGGACAGCAACTCTTCTGGGCGAGACTACGTAAAGTGATCGCTAAGTCCGGTAGGAAGCTCAAGTAGAAATGATGAGTTTTTAGCTGGGGGTTGTAGAAGAATATTGGGCTGGAATACAATTCCAACTGTAGATATCCTCAAATCCTGGAATTATAACTGCAGCTAAAAAATATGTGGCAATTCCCTTCAGGCTGTGTTCTCATGTATACATTGTTTATCCCATGAGGTCAACTTTGGCACGTGGGTCACTACTAGCTATAAGAACATTTCCATCATCATATAAAGCAGAATGATTTACAGTTGTCTGTCATAACTCTTTCAGATTCATTTGAGTGATATATAAATGGAATACACGTTGCTATGCTTTCCTGACCTGCAATACACATATTTTCACAATACTTCTGCTTTCATGTTGTCAGCCTCCTTCTGGCCGGGTGCTGACTGACAAGCTACAGGCTTGAGAATCAGCACTGACAAAGCTGACAGCCATGACCCCTGCCATGTCTTCTCCTCCCACTGTAGGCAGAGGGGGTGGCAATGCTGCTCTGCGTTCAGGATCAGTGCAGCATTGTTGTCACCCCACCAGAGGAAGCTGCAATAGGTGGACTTCACTGGCGGGATCAACAGTTATGTGCAGGACTTGCAGGGGGACTAAGAGAGAACTGTAAAAAAAAAAAAGAAGGGCTGCATCACTTACAGGGTTATTCACAGAAGGGTGAAGAGTTTGGAGAAGGCCGGAGACGTAAACAATCTCAGACAACATAGCTGATCCTAAATGGAGAAGCCAAGCTTGAATAGAGGTGGGGGGAGGGGGAGGGGGGGCATCTATTGTCTAACTCCTCTCTCTGGGCATGTTAATAACACCTCCTAGACGCCAATTATGCAAATGTGATCAACACCTGGTTATGACTAACAGATTATGTGGATTGGAGTGACATTCACCATATTTATTCCCAGAGAATGTTTTGTACAAGTCATTGTGAATGGAGAAAGCTGGTCGGATGACCAGTGAAACGTCTTCAGGAAAAATACAGCAAATCCAGTTGCCTCTGACTTATTATTTACAGATCCTGTGAGCGGCTGATCATCATAATTCGACTGCTGCCATGACAGACAAATAGAACAGCACATTATTGTCGGCTCGGCTGCTTGTGGTCTGAATCACCACTTCCTCCTCACTGACCATTGTGGTCGCACATTGTACATAGAGCTCAATGTTTGTATTCTAATTCCTTCCGTCTACTTGGTGTATCCTGTCCTGAGCCAACATGGAATGGAGAGAAAAGACATCAAAAGTATTATTTGCCTTTTACCTTTTATAGTTTATTCTATTGTTAAAGTGTTTTGAACATCCTTATACGATTTAAGTACTTTACAACCCTTGCAAGATAAAAGTCTTGCGAGGGTTGTAAAGTGTATGGGCACCTTTAAGGGATCGCCTAAAGGCAGTCAGAGTGGGAGACAGACGGACAGGTTGGGGTGGAGAGTTCCATAGGATTGGAGAGGTTCTAGTGAAGTCCTGGAGGCCGAGCAGAGTTGTGGATGGCTTGCACGTTAGTGTTTTTCCGCGTGTATTCATCTGCGTGGAAACACTCAAAACACAAACCCCTCCCCCCTTCCCCGTACATTTACATTTCAATGTACCTTCTTCCCAGATGCATGTCATACGCGCGGCACGAAAATGGCACATCGCACAAAAATTTACAGGTGTGATATATTCTGGGTGACTTACCTGCTCTGGATCTGCTCTGGATCTGCAAACGCATGCAAATGCCTGGAACGCACTGAAAGCCCATATTAAACAAAAAAAAAAAATGTAAACTAAAAAAAAACCACACTAGTTTTTTAGCCAAAAATGCGTCAAAAATGCGTCAAAAACGCATCTAAAAGACTAGCGTGCGTGTGCAGAAACCTGACCGGATGTGCTCTGCATTTGGTGTGAACAAGGCCTTAGTCATCAGGGCCTAATCTTATCTCAATGTTACGTAAACAATGTATACAAAAACTGTTTCCCCCTCCCCCCTTTATGTGCTACAATGTAGCTATTTTGTGTTGTTGTTGTTGTGTAATTATATAAATATTGCGTTGGGAAAACAGAAAATGCATTTTTTTTCTAACATTTTTTTAGTAAATAAATATATATATATATACAAAACTTCTCCCTAAAACTGCTCAAATATCTTCCGGAAATCTTTTTATTGGGGGTAGCAACACTGCAAGGGTTAAGTGCTTGTTTGTGTCTAGGGACCAAAATAACAAAGATATAATCACCCGAAGCTTCAAGTCAGCCACAGCGCTCCCTGCAACCTGTATCCTCCTCCTCCCCCTCCTCCGCGGCACATTGCAATCTTCCTCAGCGCCCTCACATCAATACACTGTGCACAAATGTCATGACTTACAGGACCGTAGAGGTGGAGAGACTCAAGAAGGACCGGTCTAAGAAGAAGCCGGCTCAGAGCTTCGGGTGATTATATCTTTTGGACCTAGACACTAAGGGCTTGTCCACACCATGTCCAGACCAGAACAGTTTGCTCCTGGTTCATTCCAGACAAGACAAAAAAATACTGCTTGTCACATTTTCTCTGGTCTGGAATACACTGGAACGCATAAAAAAACGCATACAAATGCATGCAAACGCAGTGGACTGCAACTGGAAGCCAATTTGAAGCTGAAAAAAGAAAAAAAAAATGAACTGAATCGCCGGCAAAAATGCGGCAAAACTCAATGTCCTGCACTCCAGACCTGGTCTGGGAAATGGTTTGAACCTGGCCTAACAAGCACTTAACCTTTGCAATGCGAACACACTGTACGTCAATCACACGTGACTATGTGCACTTCCGCACTGACCGAGCCATCACTGTGAACGCGGCGATACCACTCTCAGCCTCACCCTGCGCAGAGATTTCCCAGCTCACTAGAAAACAATCTCAGGCCAGCAGACTGAGAGGGATTGTCACCAGGGTCAGTTAACCCTTCACACAAAACGCAGTAGCTGCCACCATGTGTTTTAAAGGCAACACAAACCGTGTACAGAAAATGCTGCGACAATTCCAAAAACGTAACCAACGCCTATGATACCGCTGTCCTCTCATAGAGGAATATGACCGATCACTATACAGTACAGTCTATGATACCGCTGTCCCCTCAGACAGGAATAGGACGGGTCTCACTATACAGTACAGTCTATGATACCGCTGTCCCCTCAGACAGGAATAGGACGGGTCTCACTATACAGTACAGTCTATGATACCGCTGTCCCCTCAGACAGGAATAGGACGGATCACTATACAGTACAATCTATGATACCGCTGTCCCCTCAGACAGGAATAGGACGGGTCTCACTATACAGTACAGTCTATGATACCGCTGTCCTCTCATAGAGGAATATGACCGATTACTATACAGTACAGTCTATGATACCGCTGTCCTCTCATAGAGGAATATGACCGATTACTATACAGTACAGTCTATGATACCGCTGTCCTCTCATAGAGGAATATGACCGATTACTATACAGTACAGTCTATGATACCGCTGTCCTCTCATAGAGGAATATGACCGATTACTATACAGTACAGTCTATGATACCGCTGTCCTCTCATAGAGGAATATGACCGATTACTATACAGTACAGTCTATGATACCGCTGTCCTCTCATAGAGGAATATGACCGATTACTATACAGTACAGTCTATGATACCGCTGTCCTCTCATAGAGGAATATGACCGATTACTATACAGTACAGTCTATGATACCGCTGTCCTCTCATAGAGGAATATGACCGATTACTATACAGTACAGTCTATGATACCGCTGTCCTCTCATAGAGGAATATGACCGATTACTATACAGTACAGTCTATGATACCGCTGTCCTCTCATAGAGGAATATGACCGATTACTATACAGTACAGTCTATGATACCGCTGTCCTCTCATAGAGGAATATGACCGATTACTATACAGTACAGTCTATGATACCGCTGTCCTCTCATAGAGGAATATGACCGATTACTATACAGTACAGTCTATGATACCGCTGTCCTCTCATAGAGGAATATGACCGATTACTATACAGTACAGTCTATGATACCGCTGTCCTCTCATAGAGGAATATGACCGATTACTATACAGTACAGTCTATGATACCGCTGTCCTCTCATAGAGGAATATGACCGATTACTATACAGTACAGTCTATGATACCGCTGTCCTCTCATAGAGGAATATGACCGATTACTATACAGTACAGTCTATGATACCGCTGTCCTCTCATAGAGGAATATGACCGATTACTATACAGTACAGTCTATGATACCGCTGTCCTCTCATAGAGGAATATGACCGATTACTATACAGTACAGTCTATGATACCGCTGTCCTCTCATAGAGGAATATGACCGATTACTATACAGTACAGTCTATGATACCGCTGTCCTCTCATAGAGGAATATGACCGATTACTATACAGTACAGTCTATGATACCGCTGTCCTCTCATAGAGGAATATGACCGATTACTATACAGTACAGTCTATGATACCGCTGTCCTCTCATAGAGGAATATGACCGATTACTATACAGTACAGTCTATGATACCGCTGTCCTCTCATAGAGGAATATGACCGATTACTATACAGTACAGTCTATGATACCGCTGTCCTCTCATAGAGGAATATGACCGATTACTATACAGTACAGTCTATGATACCGCTGTCCTCTCATAGAGGAATATGACCGATTACTATACAGTACAGTCTATGATACCGCTGTCCTCTCATAGAGGAATATGACCGATTACTATACAGTACAGTCTATGATACCGCTGTCCTCTCATAGAGGAATATGACCGATTACTATACAGTACAGTCTATGATACCGCTGTCCTCTCATAGAGGAATATGACCGATTACTATACAGTACAGTCTATGATACCGCTGTCCTCTCATAGAGGAATATGACCGATTACTATACAGTACAGTCTATGATACCGCTGTCCTCTCATAGAGGAATATGACCGATTACTATACAGTACAGTCTATGATACCGCTGTCCTCTCATAGAGGAATATGACCGATTACTATACAGTACAGTCTATGATACCGCTGTCCTCTCATAGAGGAATATGACCGATTACTATACAGTACAGTCTATGATACCGCTGTCCTCTCATAGAGGAATATGACCGATTACTATACAGTACAGTCTATGATACCGCTGTCCCCTCAGACAGGAATAGGACGGGTCTCACTATACAGTACAGTCTATGATACCGCTGTCCTCTCACACAGGTATATGACGGGTCTCACTGTACAGTGGCACTCCTAACAGAGACAAGGATACTTTAAGTTCTTATCTAAAGCGTAGAGATAAGCTTAACGATTTTTAAGATCGCCCTTTAATAAACGGTGCAGAAAAAAAGATGTCACGAGAAGAAAGACAAAATGTTTAACAACAGTAAAATAAAATGGAATAAAAATGAGAACACTTAACAAAGTCCTGGTTCTGGCAGAATCTAGCAGAGTCCAATTCAATGTACAGAAGATGGATCTAGATTGGGCACTGTCAGTGTAAGGCGAAGGGTTGGTCCTTGATGAGATTGAGTTTCTTCTTGATGGTCACACATGAGCTTTACTTTTGATGTATCTCTCTCTGTTATGAGAGTTGCTGACTGTCCTGCCCTTGTCGGTCCTCTAGGGGGTGTCACTGAGCCGGCCCATAAGCCAATTAGGAAGAACTAGAGAGGGTGAGCAGGAGGGCTAAGCATTTTCTGATCCTCTCCTCTGCATCTCCCAAAGTGTCAATTTCATATTAACAAATATATATCTCAATTTTTTTAGTTTAGTGTTAGCTTAGTCAGTGGCTCATGCTGGGGGGGAGGACATAAATATTCAGGGCTGACCTTGTGAGTGTCTCTTCCCCTCGGGCTCCTGCCTGGGGGAGGTGTGTGCTAGTGATTCTGGCTTCCTGGGCCTGCTGCCTATGGAGGCCACATGTGCTATGCTGTAAGGCCGGGGGTTGGGGCCTGAGCTCACACTGCCTTGCTGGAGGTCATTTCCCAGTAGCAGTGGAGCTGATCCTGGGAAGGAGAACCATGGAGGAACATTGGAACCACCTGGAGGTGTCTGAGATGCTGGAATTTGGCTTGGACCTGGCAGGGAGTCTGGTGTCTCACCCAGGGTGTCTGTGCTATGTCTGCTTCATGGTCAAGTGCTCTACAATCACAGGCTGTCTGTCTGTTCTAAAGGTCCTCACACCTGTGGAGACTGTAAGAAGAAAGCTGGGATGTGGTCGGTGAGTCTGGAGTACTGTCCTGGGGGTGTGTAGTCCTTGTCCCTCTCTCCCATGTGAGCTGCTGGAGAAATCAGATCTTTCAACTCTGTTAAAAAACTGGAGTCCAACCTCACATCCCACATCCAGCTAAGGACTTACCCCTGAGGTGACATGTCAGCCCACCCTGCCTCTGGGGTCCCTCACATGCCTTTGGGGGTCAGGGGGTGCTGGACAAACAAAAAACGTGTAAGGACAATATTGCAATGAATAAGGTCTAAAGTCTTCTATTCATAAGAGTCCAAAATGTGTAATTAAAGCTCGAGAGCTCCTCCACCCAAAGAGATCCCACAAATTCAGTGACCCCACCACCACCATTGGAATGGAACTTATCGAAATTGTAAATATTAGAGGTGCGCCGAAATGGAAATTTTAAAACCGAAATAAAAAAAATTATATTAAACCGATACCGAAAATGTTTTTTATTTTAATTTTTTTCCAATTTTTTTATATTTTATTTTTATTTATTTTTTATAAACTTTTTATTTTTTTATATTTATTTGTATTTATTAACTCATTTTTTATTAAATATTTTTATTTTTTACATTACTTTTAGGGGCTTCGGGGGAAATATTGGGGGTCTAAACAGACTCCTGATATTTCCCTTTTAAAATAGAAAAAGAGATTTAGGACACAAAGTCCTCAGAGACACACAGAGTCCTCAATCTCTCTTTCTGCAGCCCCTGTGTTATCAATGAACCGGAATCCTCTATACTGAGTGTTCCTGTTCATTCATAACATGAGGACATAGTGTGTTTACTATAACTACAACTATGAATGAACAGGAAGTGATGTAGAGGTGATGTAGATCACTTCCCATTCATTCATAATTGAGGATATAGTAAACATACCATGTCCTCAATTATCTACAAACACTTGGCGATCACTGATCACTCCTTGTACCCGCTCTCCTCTCTGACACGCTGTCACAGGAGGCTGAGCGAGCGGTGAATGGAGGAGAGCTCAGCCTCCTGTGACACTGTGACAGCACGGCCTGTCTCCCCCACACACCGCTGTGACTGTGATAGGCGGCTGAGCGGTGTGGGAGGAGAGACGCCGGCCGCTCACAGCACTCTCTTCCCGTAGCGCTCGGCCGGCTGTCACTTTATCTCCTCCCCGCTGGGACACAGAGCAGCGCCCA